TCCCATAGAAGTGCAATGCAGGAGCATGGCACAGCGTGTTGTTCATAGGCTTTCTTTTCTTTTTCTTTTTTTTCTCACAGCATTTTCAAAACATTTCAAGCAAAACTCTTTATAGTTAGCAAATTTACAGCTGAGGACTCCATTATGGTTCGGGAGGGGTAGAAGGTAGGAGGGAAACAATAATAATTTGGGGATGGAAGAAAAGAAAAGCTGCACAACTGCTGAATGATAATGGCTCGAACCTTGGGAAAAAAAGGTAATGGCAGGAAGGGGAGGAATTACAAGGACAGTGTGACATCTGCATGCCTTGCAGGTGCACAGGAGCTATTCTGTACATAGAGGTATTAAAGATACATTGTCTTTAAGAGAGAGATGGGGCACATAACTGATTTTGCCTACATTTTGGCACGTTCAAAATCAGGGTAAAGTTATGTGTGATTCACAAAATGTCCAGCTCCCAAAGCACCTGATCTTTGTAATCCTGACCCAGTGAACTCAGGAGAGTGAATTCCCATCCCAGTAGAAATGGTGCGTGGGACCTGGGCAACACCAGTGATTTCTCATCCCAGAGTATGAAGTAAGGTAAATGACAAGTACTTCAATAAACCAGTTTTCATTAAAGGGCTTCAAGGAACATTACAGCTATTTTTTAACTCCCACAAAAGCCTAGAAGGTAAGAATTAATTATCTAGGTTTATAACTGTGTAAACTGAGATATAAAGAGATCAACGGTAACAGACCTTTAGAAGAAACCTCAGATAACAAGTTTAAAGTGCTCCAGTATTTTGCTGAATCTAGAATCAAATAAGTGGGTCAAAGTCTCACAAGTGAGTCAGACTGTGACTCCCAACTCCCGTTTTCTTCACTCTCTAAACATTGTGACTATATGTGGAGCCTGAGAAATAATTTTATATGTGGGATGTTAAATCAGTACTTTTCCTGTCTCATCAATCTCCTGTATTTTGGTACAGTGCGAATCATTTGGTAAGTGGCACAAATTAGAAAACCCAGGAGAGATGTTAAAAATATAACTTTTTTTTTTTTTAGCACTTAAAATCCTTTATTAGAACTACACAACAGCAAGAATGACGTCACCAGAAAATATTTTAGAGCTTACTTTAAGCACAGGGAAAAATATTAAATTGACTCGCCTGGGAATTTTAGGGGAGTAAAAGTTGTTACATATGGAATATACTTTCTCTTCACTCATAAGATTTGAGACATTTTCATACTTCAAATTCACAGGAATGAGCTAGAAAGGCATTTGAGGCATAGTAAAATCCTGCTTTTTATAAACACTCAAGAACTTATTTTTTACCTATGCAAAATGATCTGTAAATTGTACTAAATATGTTTGGGGAGAGGAAAGGGAGGGCGAGAGGTTACTCTGAATTTTTAAATCAAGAATAACATATTGCAACTCATTTGATAAAGAAAGATTCTCATTTAGGCTTAATACAGCACATCTGCTTGAAAAATATATACAAGGCTCCCATTGACTGCTGTGGGAAGTTTGCCAATAATATTTCATGGAAGTTATCTTGCTATCAGCTTCGGAAAATAAAGACATTTTACAGGGAGTGTTAATTCAACAACGTAAAGTTAAAAATAACTTGCTCATGCACAAAGAAATTTGATTGTTTTTACAGTTCTTAGCTTTAATTTTCAATTTAATCAGATGTACAGTCTAGGAATAAAAACAAGATCTAATTTCCAGTGAAGTTGGGTAGTTTGATATCCCAGACCACGGCCATGAAAAGAGAAATGATGTCATGAACAGACAGACTCAACTGCATATCCAAAATACACGTGAATAGTATGAGAATGCAAAAGGTCTCATACAAATCACAAATCTTTTTTAAAAATGCATGTGCAAATGCAGGAATAGCAGTGAAAAGTAAGTAAATGTGTATTTTCAGAGCACTATGATTTCCCCTGTGTGAAAAGTCTTAGAGGCAAACTGAAAAAATACATTTCTGTTCTTTACTGCTCCTTATTCTCCCCTTAGTTCAGGTCTCATCCATATGGGGAAATTAGGAAATAAACTATACTGCAGTGCTAGTCATTGCCTGGGTGGACACTCCTACTCTAGAATAAGAGTGGATTTTCCTGGGTAATTTATTTTATTTTGAAAGCAGCTTTAGCTGTACTAGAGAAGGGGGAAATCCACCCTTACTCCCAAATAAGAACATCCATCCTGGGAATTCACAGCTCAGCTACCTCCGTATAAGTTCAGATTTTGCTTTTTCTTTTACAACCTCCCCTGTAGATATTCCTTTGTGGTGGAAGTGTGGGCCCCAGGAATTAAAGGGTGATTTTACCAAGGGCTTCAGGGGGGCCAGAAGCCCACCCGGGTTCTCTCCTCTCACCTGGGATATAGGTAAGATGCAATTTAGGGTCCATCATTGCCTCATCCTGCCCTTGGAGCTCTAAAAAGGCCCTCCAGAGCCTCTTGGAAAACTGAAACATTGTTATACACAGCAATAAAAAAAACCAATAGATTTTTTCTTGCCCTTTTTAAGAAAAAACCTGGCTACATTTTTTATGTCAAAAGTAAATCTACTTTCCAACATCATCATGCTGATCAGGAAATACAGGGATATTCCATGACATTGGAGGATAGAAAAGCTTTCCTGCACTAAATAAAATACACTAAAGCACAGTGAAACACACCTGTGGTTACGTATGTACTGTAAGGGATGTTAGCTGGTGCTGCTGCAATAAGACAAAACACAGCCCTTGCAAAATAACAGTTGCTTTGTAAAACACCACAATGGACCCTTAGTGGTATTTTATGGGGTAGCTACTAATTTTGTTGCTGGTATAAGAGTGTATAAACACAAAATTCATCCTGCAGCTCTTCCTCTGAAAGCTGTCAGAAGTGGGAGGACATGGAGTGACACCAGTCCTGGCCTCCACCACCCCTGCTGCTGCCTGACCTGCCAGGGACATCATGGTGAGAACCTCTTAACCAGCAACCACCAAATATTCCTGTCACAGTCATTAAATAAACGGCCTTGAAATCCTTAAAGTTTGCCAGAAATAACATAATTCCTTCAAAGGAGCCAAGTTAGTAAGTCAGACCGTGGAGACTACTGTCCACTACTATAAATGTACAGTCTTAAATTCCCCCAACCAAGCCAGCTCCATGAATATCAAGTGAGCTCTCCTCCAGACAGCGTGGAGGATCGGAGTTTTCATATCTAAGCTTATTATTCCTAATATCACAGAGACACTTCCCTGAATTGTCCTTCTTCTGCCCAAATTCCCCATCTGACCAGATGTCTTTCTCTCTCTTGCTTTCACCTGTCAATCATGTTCACAGCTGAAATTTGATTTCTCTCCCAACAGTAACCTTAGATGAAATATTACCATAGGGGTCAGAACTGCCTGAACCTTGCCGTAAAAGTTTGTTAACTCTTCCAAGACCCAAGAGCTATTTGCTTAAAACTAACAGATTTTGCTGCTGGTTGTTTTGTGGGGTTTTGTTTGTCTATAATATGTGAACATATAATCACAAAATAGTGAAGGAAGACACAAGGAATTGCCTCAGAGAACAGCAGGCTAAGCAAGTCGTGAGATCACAAGTGCTGATAGAGGAAAAATATTTCCTTTTTTATTATATGGATAAAAATAAATATCACTAATTTATATAAATCTAATAGTCACATATATGAATTACAGGAAGCATGGCAGATTTTCCTATGGGATCATTGAAATTAGAAATGCTTCCCCAAGAGCAAGTTGATGAAACAAGTGCTGCACCTTTGCTGCTAAAATACACACTTCATGTATTTACTTCAGCTGATAGCAACTTGGCTCTATTCTTGCAAAAAAAGCATATTGCACTCTGAGTTTTCACAAAAAACGCGAGTGAGCTGGCTTCCCTCTCATTTACAGTGGTGAAAAACAGAAAAAAAAAATGCAATGCAGGCAAAACCCTATCCAAGGTGTTCCTCAGGGAAGTAAGAGGAGCATCAGGCTTAAAATGAAGGTCCTGTAGTGCTCCTTGAGAAATCTATTCCTACATCCCATACACCATCAAAAACTCCTCTCAGTTCCATTTAATGTACAGGCTACAGCACCAGTTACATCCTCCCCATCCTCACTTAAATTTTAAATAATAAATCTGTTACTTAAATTTATTTTCAAAATTAACAAGGAAATCTATTATTTTAATTTATTATTTACATTTCTTTTAAAAGATAAAAATTAAACATATTATTTAAACTAGCTTAATTCCATGAGCTAATAAAATTCAGCTGTTTCTAACAGCACTTAACCGTTGATCAAAGCATGGCAGGCTGCACGGCAGGCTGTGTTCTTAACTAAAATAGGAGGTTTCATAAAAAAAATTCACACAGGAATCTGTCATTGCAACCTTGGTGCTCATTTAACCCACTTAGTATTTTTATAGTCAAGGTCAATAAAAGTCAGATTCCATGGAACAAAAAAAAATAAAGTGCCTGTTTGAGTCTAGCAGGGGAAGGGATTGAAAGTTTTAATTCCCACATTTTCATTAGCAGCATATTTTTTAGTCAATGTTGACAGATTGAATGAACATGAATTTCCAGAGGAAAGCAGTGCTGTGAATTAAACTCTATTGTAATTTGTAAGTACTGAAGTCATCTAACACAGACTCATGATTTTCATCAAGATCTGAGGGAGATCTTCAGAAGACCCATCCTTAATCCCCGTAGCTGATGACTGAACGCCAGCATTTGAAGAAAAAGAAAGAAAACATTTGCAAAGCATTATATATGAGGTGTGGGACACGAGAGAGCTGCCTGGCTGACAAAAGTACAAAGCCCCATCATTGCAAGTGGTTTTTGTAGGCACCTGAAATCAGCCTCACCCAAAAGCTCAGGAAACTGCACCACAGCCTGTGAGCGGCTCCCCAGGGCTGAGCAAAAAGCACCATCTTAGCAGCAGAAAACAAAGCAGTGAAATTACCACCCCTGCTGAAATATGGCAAATTGCTAATGAAAAGGAAGACATACCTTTTATTTTTGACCTCAGGTAACAGGGATTTTCACATCACCGTTGTAGATGATTCTCTCGGGTACCTAATTTAGTAAATATATTAAAATAAACTATTATTAAAAGGAATATTTAGCATCATAAAGCCTGTCTGTTGTGCCACTATGGTACAGAATAGGACCTTTTATATGCAAATCTTAAATTAAATTTAGAAAGTCTCTTGTACTGTTTATTAACTCTGGCTGAGTGAAGAAGAAATGAACACAGTTTGAAGTGAAACATTTCTAGCTCAAACATTTAGTATTTATTTCACATTAATAACAGGAGATTCTTACTGACAAATTACCTTAAGAACACGTATTTTTTGCCTCACCAGTGAATATCAGTTTCTAATATCTGAAAGTGTGTAGCTTTCTGTATTTCTTTCTTAATGATTGTTATTAGCTGCACTAATGTAATTGGCAAAATAATAATCAATTTTTGTACACAGTCCATTATTTTCAAGACAGTAGTTTAATAACAAAAGCAGAGCTGTCATTTCCCCCTGCAGTTACTCACACTGTACAAATTCATCCTGTCAACACATATTTAAAACCTAATTTAAAAAAAAAAATCAACACAGAGTGAATCTTTGTACAATAAGTGAGATAAGTCAGTGAGTCAATCCACATTTCTTAAATATGGATATTTTGTTGTGTCCCTTACAATCAACTTTCCCTCCCTGAGTGTGCATGCACAGACACACACATGTATTTCCTATGAAGTGCCTGCAGGAATGTTTGAGCTCCGTGCATTTATTGGAACCGTGCAGCATAATCAGACCAAGGATAACCACAAGCCCGATCGACTTGAATAAAAAAAAAAGGCAAGACAAACTGTAGGCTCTTTTCCAGCATTTTGATTCCAGATTAGCTCTGCAGCTCTGAAAACAAAAGTGGCCAGCACATTTAGAGCCAGCTGAATGATCCCTGTCCCACATCCCACCCAAGGCTCCCCACTCAAAAGAACCCACCCCTCTTTGAAAGGACCCACTGACCACCAAAAAATGTTACCTTATTGTTTTAATTTGATTTTTTTCTTTCAGGTTTGGAGTTTGTTGTTTTGTTTTTTGAGGTTTTTTTGAGGAACAGGATGGTGCTTAGATAAATGCAATACTTGGCACCTGGCCCGGGATCTCTAAAAGCAAATGACTCCTGTGGACCTTTGGTGTCATTTTTCTCAGGACGACCTCTCCTTTCATGCCAATCGGTTAATTCATCCTGTTATTAATGCAGGGGGCTGAGAGGAACAGGTACTCAGGCCTCACATTTGAGGAGCATCTAGAAACTGATGTGGTCAGCCTGCTTTCAGTCTTTGCTGTGGCCATCCCTGCCCTAAACCCACAACCATTCCCAGCACAGCACACCTGGAACACCAACCCTCTTCCACCGACAAGGTGCATTGCTTCACTTAGCAGCTTTATTTAACTACCAGTTTATTAATAAGGAAAGAGTCAAAGACAGTAAGAGAGCGTGAAGGCAACCAGAGACACTAAGCAGATTTATTAATTTAAGAAGCCTGATCACTTTCCTTCATTTTATCTGACAGAGTTGGTGTAAGACAGTTATACTTCAATAAGTTCTCTACACTATACTGTGCTATTTTAAAAGGATTTCACAATAAAGGAAGCTGAAAGACTGTGCACAGTCTGGAGACCGTATCTGGTGTAACATGAATATAGTATTTTAACCAGATTTAATCTTACAGTATTCCCTCCTCTACAATGACTTTGCAGGAGGAAACCCTACGGAAAGGAAAATCTGTTCATCCCACACCACAGAACACTGAATCGCATTGCAGACTGCAGCAGCTCTTCCTACATATTAAAATGCTTTCATCAGGGAGTTTGGAAGCAGTCAAGCCGGGGGGAAGGGGTAGGAAAGTAAAAAAAAAAAACTAGGTCTTGTTAGGTTCAATTTTGGGATCATTTTTATTGTCACGGCTCTCAGTGCTTGAGGGAGAGGGGGCTGTTTGCAGTGGAGACACCTCAGCTTTGGGAGACAATACCAACACCCTGATCCCATCCCCTTCAGCAGTGATATCCCACTGCCAAGGCCTTGGCAAGAAGTTTTGTTTCAAAATTGGAGAAGCAGGGCTCAGGCTGCACGAAAGGGAATCTGCCTGCTTTCCCACAGAAGAGGGCTTTAAGCTTAATCATATACACATTCTGAGGCACATCCACACAGACTTGTGAAACTCAGCCTCGGCAAACGCCGTTCCCCACACTTGAGATTCTTTAAAAGCCATGAAATGTAAATCCTGCCTGCTCCCATTCTTGCTCCCTGCAGAGGACTAAAAGCCTGATCCAAAAAGTCATTTTAAAAGATCTCTTTGATTGCCGTTGGGTTTAGATTTGTCTCTGTGTGTGCACAGGTATGAAGGAAAAAGAAAGAAAAAAAAAGGGGAAAATTCAAGAACTGGAAAAAAAAGGGGAAGAAATAGAAAAAAGAAAGGAAAAATAAGAGGAAAAGAGAAAAAGAATGAGAGAGAAAAAGGAAAAAGAAAAAGAGAAAAGGGGAGAGGGGAAAGGGA